TCATTTTAACCTGATTACATCTGCAAAGACCCTATCTCCAAGTAAGGTCACATTTAGAGGTACCAGGAGTTAGGACTCCAACATATCTTTTCGGGGGGCACAATTAAACCCTCTAACTGTCAAATCCACTTGACCACCTTGAGCCCTTATTTTATTTTCTTTGTTCTGCTTTGTTGGTTAAAACTTCTCAAAGAAATTGCCTATATTCCCTGTGTCTACAATTTTTCATTCCATTTTCTATTGAACATTTCTTCGTATAACTCCACCAATAGCTCCTCTTGCCAAGATCACCAGTCTTGCTAAACCCAATGTTAATTCAATATCTCATTCACAATTAGATCCCTCTTTCATCTTTGAAACTCTTTCTTCATTTGACTTTGGAACACTACTCTTATGGTTGGCTTCCTATTGTCTTCTCAATCTCTAAAGTCGGGACCCCAATTTGGACCTATTCTCTTATATATCAGCAGATACTTCTGAGGTGGTCTCATCTAATCTCATGGCTTTACATACCAGCTTCATGTTGATAACTCCCAAACTTGATATTCCCAGCACTCGTTGCTTCCCTGATCTCTAAGTTCATGTAAACATCAGCCTTCTCAGCGTCACTATTGGATATTGAATAGGCATATCAACGAAATTGCAGTATTGACTCCATCCCCAAAATAAAATGTTGGTGTCATCATTGACTCGTACCTGTCTCTCATGCTCATGTATCAGCTCCACCTCCAAAATATATCTACCCTCTTCTTGCCAGCTCCACTACTACTTTACCATTTCCAGCAATTATTAACATTTGCCTGAACAATTGCAACAAATTCCAAACTGATCTTTCTGCTTCTCCTTTACCCCACAGTGTATTTTCTATTTTCACCACACCAGCCAAAGAAATTTTTTTTTTTTTTTGAGACAGAGTCTCACTCTGTTCCCAGTGGCGTGATCTCGACTCACTGAACCTCTGTCTCCTGGGTTCAAGAGATTCTCCTGCCTCAGCCTCCCAGGTAGCTGGAACTACAGGCATGCACCACCATGCTCATCTAACTTTTGTATTTTTAGTAGAGACGGGGTTTCACCATGTTGGCCAGGATAGTCTTGATCCCTTGACCTCATGATCCACCTGCCTCGGCCTCCCAAAGTGCTGTGATTACAGGCATGAGCCACTATGCCCAGTCAAGAAATACTTTTAAATCACAAGTAGTATTGTGTCAAGCCTTGGCTAAGAACCCTTCATGAATTTAGTATTCCAAAGACCAAAATTCTTACCATGCCCTGTGAGATCAATATGACCTGGTCCTGCTACTATCTAATACCATCTCCTAACATTCAACCATCCTCTTCTCTTTGCTCCAGCTATGATGGTATTTTTGCTCTCCCTTCAGCATGGCAAACATCCTCCCACCTCAAGGCCTCTGCACTTGCTGTTCTCTCTGCCTGGAAGACTTCTCCCCTTCAGATATCTGCATGACTAGTTGCCTTATTCCTTTAGGCCTCTGTTCACATACTGTTTCATCTGAGAGGCCTGAGCTGTCTAAAGTAGAATCCACCACCATGTTTCTCTACCCCTTATTCTCCTTTCTTCTTCATCATCATCCCTGACATATTATATACTTATTGTCCATTTTCTATTTTTATCTCCCCAACTACATTCAGAACACAAACTCCATGAAACAAAAAGTTTGCAGCTTTCACTGCTATATCCATAGATCTACAATAGTGTGTGGTGCATAATAGACATCTAGTAACATTGATTAAATATCTCTTATTTCAGTTCTCTGTGTCAGTTCTCTGTGTCATTTGATACTGCTGGCCATATCCTTCTTGGAATGTTCTCTTCTGTCTTTTGGTTTCTCCTACTTCTCTGACTACTACTTGCTCCTTCCAAGCTTCCTCCTCCTTTTTCTTGAAGGTTGAGTGTTAATATTCCCCCAAGTTGAGACTTTAGCCTTCTTTTCTCCTCATTCTGTATACTCTCCCTTGACTTCTGTCTAAATCCCATTGCTATAACCAGCACATAAACAGGCCCCAATGACTAACATGCAAATCTCTGTCCTCATTTCAGACCTTCCTCCTGCATCCCAATCTTGTCTGCCCAGCTGTCCTCTGCATACCTCCAATTAAATATTCTAGAGAAAGCTTCCAGAGGCTTCTCTAGTGACAGCCTAAGGACTTCTCCTCAAACTCATGCTTTACTCCTTACCTTCTTTTTTTTTCACTCCTTGCCTTTTTTTTTTTTTTTTTTTTTTTTTTTAAGCAAAAGGCCCCTAGGAATTGGACCTGTTTTCCTAATAATGATTTAAAATAATTAAATAACTACTTTTGTCAAGCATTTTATATACATTTTTAATAATCCCTCCAATAACTTTTTATAGTACATTATTAACTCTGTCTTATAGATGAGAAAACTCAGTAACCTGCTAAAAGTTACAAAGCTTCTAATGTTTTATTGCAGTGATGCCTAGTGCATGATTCTGATTGCCTTAGATGATAAATGAAATCCTATCTTCTCTATCAGGAAGAGTCTAGAACAAATTTAGCAATCAACAGAATTAGGTTTATCTGTACCTCACGAACTTATCACCTCTGGGAACAGTCAGTTCACCTGGCCTGTCCTAATGAGAAGGCCAGGAAGATTCCATCTTCGAGCATTACCCTTTGTCTCCTACACAGAGTTCAGTGTGTAAAATTGCTGCCCAAAATTGATTTTCTTAATCCTTTTCCCACAAACCACCTGAAAATCAGTCCAAATGTCTTTTCTTCCCACTTTTGGTCACAGCAGCCATGTTTTTAATGCTTACAAAGAAATAAGTATAATTTCAGAATTGCCATATTCTTACACAGAGAGAGAAGCAAGTTAGAGGTTAGTATGAGTGGATTTGATGCATGCATTTTGCTTCACCTCTAACAGAACAGTGGGCTTTAGGCTCCAGTTTTTTTCCACTGGATTAAATCAGGTGGAGCATATGCAGGCTCTCACACAGCAGCAGCTGCTGAGTCTATCCAGAAAATTGCTGTGCCAGCAACGATTTCCCTGTGGCTCTCCCATTTAATTGAATGAGAACCAGCAGGTGACTGGTGCCATGACAAGGGAATCACAGACACACTCTGAGCCTGTCACCGTGTGATGGAGCTAATATACAGCTTCTTAGTGGAGTGCTGAATTCTGCTCAAGGGTAGGGCACACAGAGCCTTTCCTATGATTTTTTTTTTAATGTGCTAGAGAGGCATAACTTTAAAACCACTATTTTTAGATATTATGCAATTAAGATGGAGAGTAGTGAGGCATGTGATTTATTTTGTAAAATAATTATGTATCCTACAACCCATTATTACTAAACAAAAATCAATACATTAACATTCTGTATTTTTGTCCTGATGTAAATGACAAACAGATAGAAGAAAGCAGGTTGGAGATCAAGGAATAGTTTTTCCTACCAACATATCATTGATTTATTCTGTTCACAGAGAATCTCTGTGAATAACATACGTGTAGTTGTCACAAAATGGTTACAACTATAGAGAATGAAGGAATCGGTATATACAAAATGGTAATGAGCATTAATTAAGATAAAGATAAGCATTGCTATTAATGTTCCATTAAGCCTCAAGCAACAGAAGAGCAGCAGTTTTCAGCAGACCTTGGATTTTAAAGAAAGTGTAGGCAGAGCGAAATGTCTGTCCTGAATGAGGACTTCCCAGTTCCATTCAAGGGTGGTAGACATTAAAAGAGACACATTTCAATACGTAACTCAGTGACTCTTTTTATTCCACATACATACAGTGACTAGTGAAGCAACTCAGAAGAGAAAGAAATTGAGAAATAATCTCTGTGCAAATGCTGCAAAGGTAGATACATACATAGGTAAATGGAAGACAAATAAAAGTTTACACTCGGATTTTCTTTCATGCTACCTGAGAACACATTTTTTTATAGTTCAAAGTCTTTACAATATAACAAATGGTTGACAGAAATTGTAAACAATACTTAAGACATTATCAGAGGAAAAATCTATTAAATGGGCAAAAGAATACAGGTATTTTACTGAAATTGAAAGACAATAGATTCATAGAAAAAAAGAATTTTAATGTAGTTCAGAATTTCTTTAAAGTTTTAATGATCATGAAGCATTAGTAGCTAAGCCCCAAGGTGGTGGGTGGAGAGAGCAAAGCACCAATTAATATTAGTCTATAACCACGCCCCCCCACCAAACTTACTCTTGTTGTCAGAAAAAGTCATGTGCTCAGCTAATGATTACCACAGCATTGTATTCGTCTAAAACTTTCATTTATGTTGTCTGCTAGCCTAAGGCTTACACCTTTGCTCTTAATAAAAGAAAAAAGGCTACTTAACTAAATCTCCTAATCATTAAAAACAATTGGTTTTATAGCCACTTTCAAGCAAGTTCCCCTCAGAGAAAGTTACCAAAAAAAAAAAGAAAAAAAAAATTGCTTTGATGTATTGTGAGGCTTAATCAGACATTGTAGAGTCAACAAACGGTAAGGAAAAATCCCAGTAAACCGTTTTTAAAAATTGTAAGTTTAGTTTGATAGAGTCTGAGTTGCATGTTTGTAGCGATTTTGGAGATCTGCCAGTGTTAAATAGGATCCAGTTGGTGTGGACTGAAGGATTCTGGCAGCAAATCAAGACCGAAAATCTGACCAAATAATGTCTTTTTGAATAAGTGACAGCTAAAATCTGTTCTCTGGCATTACTGCTGTGAGTAAATGGGCAGATATTTTATTTAAACATGTAAGTGTGAAAAAAAAGTTGTCATTTACGTGCCCTGAAGAATCCAATAAAAAATAATAAAATTTTCAATATCTATTGTTTTTTAGTAAAGTTTGCCATTCTAGAAAAAATAATCAAAAAATAATGAGGAATGTATCTATTTTTAAAAAACTAAGTTTGCAGTTCCATATGCATATGTGTGTAACATATATATACAGTTATTTATATATATCCTTGTTAATATATGTATATATATATAATTGTTAATTTTCAGGAAAAGGAAAGCGATTGAAGCAAGCCAAGGAGGAAGCAATGGTAGAAATTGACCAGTACAGAATGCAGAGAGATAAGGAGTTTCGATTAATACAATCTAAGGTGAGTAAGAAAGTCAGCACTGGCCGGGCGCGGTGGCTCACTCCTGTAATCTCAGCACTTTGGGAGGCTGAGGCGGGCGGATCACAAGGTCAGGAGATAGAGACCATCCTAGCTAACACGGTGAAACCCCATCTCTACTAAAAAAATACAAAAATTTAGCCGGGCGTGGTGGCGGGTGCCTGTAGTCCCAGCTACTCGGGAGGCTGAGGCAGAAGAGTGGTGTGAACCTGGGAGGCGGAGCTTGCAGTGAGCCGAGATCGTGCCACTGCACCCCAGCCTGGGCGTCAGAGCAAGACTTCGTCTCAAAAACAAAAAAAAAGAGAAAGTCAGCACTGTTTCTTATGCAGAATAGATAAGACGCATATTCATAAGGTGTAATATAGAATACTGAGAGAAAAAAATATGCTGTAATTGAGAAGATATAGTTCAACCAAGCTGAACATCAAGCTAAATCTTAAACATAATAATTACTGATATTACGTTTTCACTTTCAACGCATTTTTAATTTCTCACACAAAGGGTCAATCAGTAGTTATTACATAATATATAGTATATGTTAAAAATCATATTCACAAATATACAAGTTGAATGGATTGCTTAAAGTCTCATTCCTACCACTGATTGTTGACTAACATATTTTAGTAAGAAAAAACTTGAGAGAACCTGTTTTTATATAAATATATATGTTTAGTTACATAAATAACATTTCCAAGATTTACAAATGACCAAAGTAGATATTGCTGCAAATTGCTGAAAAGCTTTCTGGTATTTCCTGATGTTTCCCTTTGCAACTGGCTGACTCATTCAATAAATCTTTCATTTAGAGATAAAGAAATGCTTTTTCCTACACTGGCATATTTTTAAATATCTGCAGCTTACTGTAAATCATAAATGCATGAAATCTTTGGAGCCTACACCTTCCTTTCCATGTTGCAACATGGGCTAAAAGAAAGTGCTAAACTCCATGTATCATAACTAAATTTTTTATGACATTTTATTTTGGCCTCAGTAAAAATATAAACAAAGCTCTGTGCAGAAGCCTGACATTTCAAATAAATTATTAGCGATTTGGAAATCTTCTTTATTTACAACTTTTATTTTAATGGTAATGGATAAGGAGTTCATGTAGGATCAGATAAATTGGACTACATAATAACAAAACCTTTTTTGTCAAATAAAAAATGTCCTTTCTAGGATTAAGTGGACCACTCAGCAAACACACAAATTTTTATCAGTGTTCAAAAATAAGAAATCCTAAAGTCCTAAGTTCATACAACCCTCCATGACTGGCCTTTGGCTATCTCTCTCACCACATTTTCTACCACCCTAGACTCTATTAGTTCTGTTCTATCCATATTGGTCTTTTGTTCTTCCTCAAACAGATAGAACATGCCCCTACCACAGGGCCTTTGCATGTACCATTCTCATGTCCTACATTTTTTTTCTTTAGATACATTCATCTTTCTCTGATCTCAATTCAATTGTTAGTGCCTCTTCCTGATCACTTTATCTAAAATTGTGTCTGTCATAAATACATATTGTAGTCCGTTCTTTTTCCTCATACACTTAGCATTATCTGATATATTTTATATTTACTTTTTTTGCATATTGCCTATCTTTCCTTCTGGGGCTTTAAACACCAAAAGAATCATTTCTTGGTTTTGGTCTCTATTTTCCTAGACATTAGAACAGTGCCTGCCACACAGTAGACATGCAATAAATATTTGTTGAAAGAATGAATAATATTTTTTTCTTTGATTTTCTTTCTTATTGAATCCTATCATAGCCATAATCTATTAGGACCTGAGAAAATAATCATCCTTAACATTCTCCAGCTTTGATTATCTTATATAGGATATTTCTGATATAATTATTTCCATTTTTTTTTAAGTAATAACAGAACTGATCACAATTTCAGAAAGTGCTGATGTTAAATCTCTTCAAATATCATTTCCCCAGAGGAATCTTATCAGATATATATCTTGTTCTGGTTATTTGTTTTCTGCTTTAGTTCATAATTAAATAATTAAAACTCCTCATCGCTCTCATAATTAGCACTCCAAGCCAATTTCACAGTTATTTGATCAAAAGCTCACATAGAAAGGTCAGCATATTTAAGCCTCGGCTACTTCAAGCATATTGTAAAACCATTAGCACAGATCTTCTCTCCTTGGCGTGACCTCCATATGTCAGGCATATTGCTATTCCACTTAAATCTCATCCTCATTAACCCAGGGCAATTAAGAGGTCTGGGAGGAGACTCAAGAAACCAGCCTTCTGTCTGCTGTGGGTGTTGTATCTTGATGTTACTTTTTGTTGCTTTTTAGCTCTTGTTAATATATGTGATTTTTCAAGTTCCCTGACTTATCAACGGAAGCAGGTATCCCAATGTGGGCTGTACATTAGCAAATATTGTTTCATCAAAAATCTATTTATCCCTTCCTTAGTGCTACCCTATCTAAAGAAGATATTACATTGCTAAAAAGAAATCTGGACTATAGTAGAAAAATTAAATCTGTTGTTAATACAAGTAAAAGTCAGATAGATCATGAATCTAAATAGAAAATCTGAAAATGGGCCGGGCACGGTGGCTCACGCCTGTAATCCCAGCACTTTGGGAGGCCGAGGTGGGCGGATCACGAGGTCAGGAGATCGAGACCATCCTAGCTAACACGGTAAAACCCCGTCTCTACCAAAAATACAAAAAATGAGCCGGGCGATGTGGCGGGTGCCTGTAGTCCCAGCTACTCGGGAGGCTGAGGCAGGAGAATGTTGTGAACCCGGGGGGCGGAGCTTGCAGTGAGCCGAGATCGTGCCACTGCACTCCAGCCTGGGAGACAGAGCGAGATTCCGTCTCAAAAAAAAAAAAAAAAAAAAAAAATCTGAAAATGGTTGCCTTGGGCATACTGAAGACCTTTATATCTTTACTCTTTCTTCCTGAATTTATATCCCAAGAGCATTTTGTTTGCTGGAGACAGTCACAAATTGAGAGCATAAAATTGTTTTTCTTGTGACGATGGGACCTGAAGCTCTGCTTTACCTTAAACTGGAACATTTAAACAACTTATAAGGAAACGTATTGAATATTTAAAGATCTTCCATCACCATCAGTCATTATGGTGTAAAGCTATACATCAGTTTCAACACTGACATTCTGAAAATTAAAATGGAGAAGTCCTCACATGTCACTCTTAAACCTATCATGACATGTTACAGATTTATCGACTACTAACTTATACATTCTTCCAAACATTCAGGTAACAGGCTTCCACCAACATGAGCAACAGAACATAGGTAATGAGTTCTCTGTAATATCAAGAGATCTGATCATTCTACTCAATACGAATGTATATTGAGCATCTATTAAGTGTCAGATAGTGTTTAAGGCACTTATAATACATCAAGGAACATGATTCTTGCCTTTGTGCCACTTACCTTCATTCACTGAAACTCCTACATGAGTTAAATCAATACTCAGCCTGCAGATATCAAGATATGGAATTCTTCCCTAGGAAAACCATTTAAAATAGTATATGACTAGTCATTGTTATAGTACTGCATAGGAAACACTGCAGAAACTCAAATCACTGGGCATCAAATAAACTCAGAAACAATATTTTGTTTAATTATGCAGGATGAGACACAGGATTATGGGATATTACAAGGGTATTACAATGTTTCTGAAAATACAAAACAGATTGGAAAAATTTGAAAAGTATAAGTAATCAGTGAAAATTATACTAGTAATTACTAACATGTACTGATTACTTGTTCAGAGTTAAACTTCTGTGCTAAGAGTCATCTTTATAAGTCTGTCTGGAAAATGATTAGGGTGTCTTGAAAAGCCACATTAAGAATTCAACTAATATTAACAGCTGTCATTTATTGCTGCACTGCCCAAAATGGTGACCACTTCACATGTAGCTACTAAGCACATGAAGTGTAGCTAGTCCCAATCAAGATGTGCTTTAAGTGTAAAATACATACCATATTCCAAAGACTTAGTATGAAATAAAAGAATGTAATAATTTTTATATTGATTGTATGTCAAAATATGAATATTATTAGGTTAAATATATTATTAAAATAACTGCACCTACTTCTTTTACACTTTTAATGTGGCTTCTAGAAAATTTATAATTATATATATATATATGAGCTGCCTTTGTGGCTCATATTACACTTTTGTTAGACACAACTGCTCTGCACACTTACCAATGAATCTGATTTGCATTTTATAGTATCTTATCAAATGGGTGATATTATCCCTATTTAAAAAAATAGAGAACCTGAGATTGAGATTAACTTTTCCAAAGTCATTCGCAACAGTTACACTAAACCAACCCAAAGACAACTATTTTTAATACTGTTCCAAAGAAAAGTAGGTAATAGTTTCACAAGTTTGTTTTTTATTTTTTACCACTAGAAGACATTGAATTTAGACAATTTTTTTTAATTTAGTAGAATCCCACTTAAGACACTAAATTTAGAGGAAAAATTTTGAGCTTGGTAGAACCATTTCAATAAGTAGATCTCTTCTATTTTAAAATTTCTTCTTAGCAAGGGAAATTCGATCCATATGTTTCTGCTTCTTGTATACTCACTTATCAAAATGTTATTCTGCAAAAGTTATTTGATGTCTTAGAAGCTGTAACTTTTCAAAATTATTTTCTTTGAACTGAGAAGACCCCATTGCCTGGACTGTAAACAGAAAAGAACTCGAACCCAAGCACTTCAGTGGCATTTGATTTCAAGCCTAGGACTCAAAAAGATCATGCAGATTTTAGAATTTAGAATAGTCTAACCACCCTGAAGTAGAAGTCAATCATTACTGGAGTATCTTGGATTAAATTAAATGCATACTTTTCCTAAACACTCACAGAAGGAAAAAGCAAACAAACATAAAACAGTCTTCTTGTCTTTAAAATGCCATGTTTAAGAAAGGCTGAATTTACAAAGGAGATACATTAGGAGTTGATTTTTTGCTTTAGTAAAGGCTAACTTTCAAAGTGTTTCACTGCAGAATTCCTTTAAATTGTTAACTCCTCTGATGAAATTATATTTTGGTCAAATCATTCCTTGATAAAGAAGCTACATGGAAAGAGAAGATAATGGAAAATAATGGGAATCTCTGGCAATTAAAGAGCAATTAGAAAGATATATTAAACTGTGTCTACAATTATGATGTAACTAAATGAACAAGCATATTCAATTTGAAAGAAATACTACTTACACTAAATTTTTCAAGATAATATCTATTACCCAAAGAAACACACTTCAGCAGCTGGGTGCTGTGACTCACGTCTGTAATTCCAGCACTTTGGGAGGCCAAGACAGGCAGATTATGAGGTCAGGAGTTTGAGAACAGCCTGGCCAACATAGTGAAACCCTGTCTCTACTAAAAATACAAAAATTAGCAGGGTGTGGTGGCACATGCCTGTAGTCCCAGCTACTTGCGAGGCTGAGGCGGGAGAATCGTTTGAACCTGGGAGGCGGAGGTTGCAGTGAGCCAATACCACGCTATTGCACTCCAGCCTGGGTGACACAGTAAGACTCTGTCTCAAAAAAAAAAAAAAAAGAAAGAAAGAAAAGAAATACATTTGTGCACATAAAGGTATCTTACAGGACACATTGTGAATGTCTTCCTGATAAAAACAAGACACAATTCAGATAATGTATTTTAAAAATAGAAAAACTAGTTATTCAGTCTTTAAAAACCAGCAAAAGTGGGTTTAATGGTGTCTTTCAACTATGTTTTCCAGACTTATAACTCGGAAGGTAAACAATAGGGAATATATGGGAACTAAATGGAAACGATTATAAATACATGAAAAATGTGATGGAAAAGAACTTCTGGGCACGGTTTAATGATTACAAATGTGTATTCAATTTGTAACATGTGGAGGTTGGTTAAAACTGAAAGTAACCTGCTATGACCAGTTTCAATATTTTATGAAAGTTCATCCTTCCCACTCATAGCATTGGTGATCCTGTTGGTTCTCCGAAAAAAAATCTACAAAAATTGTGCATCATAGGACAATCATCAGTAAACAGGCTAGGACAAATTTAACTTGTAAAACAATTGTATTATGATATGAATTCTGTCTGTTTTGTTTTGGTAGATAATGGGCTCTCAGAGTAATCTCTCAGATGAAATAGAAGAACAAACATTAGGGAAGATACAAGAACTTAATGGACACTACAATAAACATATGGAAAGTGTGATGAACCAGCTCTTGAGTATGGTCTGTGACATGAAACCAGAAATCCATGTGAACTACAGAGCCACCAACTAAATGTACAACATAGTTTTCAAGAAAAAAAAAAAAAAAAAAGGTGTGTGAGTGCCACCTGGTTGCTTATGGCTTCATGTTTTTATATTAAGAAATTTGAAATGCGAACCTTAAATTTACATTTACAGGAAATGTGACATAACTCATACATCAGCACTGAATTAAACAAAACAAAATACCACTGTTGCTATATCTTTTCTAGTAATAATTATGACCTTATCATTTAACTTGGAGTAAGTCAAGAATGCAGAAGAGTAACACTTGAAAGAAATACATGGTCATGACAGCTTTTTAGTGGGCGTGGGTTTTTTATTCCTTCTCCTTTTCATCGATTTAGAAAATGTACTCTTAATTGTGTTAAAAGGTAATTTGCTAAAAGATCATCTTTAAGCAAGATATAATTATGACTCTTCAACAGATCTAAAAATGAACATGTCAATGGTTTTATTTAATTCAGTAATCAATGAGGAAACCAGTAAAACAGAGAGACAGAGACAAAGAATGATGGGTTATATAGCCATTTTTAAACATAGATGGGTTTTATAATCATTCTGTCTGTCTGATCTCAACTAAACAGATACTATTTTAAAAGAAAAAAGTAAATGATAAATAAGCTAGTAACAGATTTTGGAACTTTGAAAAAAATTAAAAAAAAAAAAAAAAAGAAATACAAAGAAAACTCCCAGGGGATGTATTAGGTTAGTGTACCACTAGCCCAGTCAAGAATTTAGCTAAGCTAAATTCTTGTTAAATACTAAGTACTTTGTTAGCAAAATGTATATATTATCTCACTCCTACTGTGTAAGCAGTACTAGTGCTCTTGTTTTACAAAATGAGAAGCAAAACAAAGGAACTTGCCTGGAGTTGTTTGTATAACAGTGGCAGCACTGGGCTTCGAACTGGGCAGTGTGACTCCAATGTTCACACCCTTCGCTTCTTACCAAACTGCTTACCTGCACAGCTCCAGTATTTGCATTAGTAAGAAGCATGGGTACTATAAAGTCTTTGATTTTCAAGTAATAGATGCAGACAAATTTTAATTCCAGTCTAAACAATAGTTAATTATTGTCACCAAACTATTCATATAATCTTCAAATATATGAATCTCTGACTATATGTATAGTTTGGTAACAATAATTAACTTTTGTTTAGACGAATTAAAATCATAAACTGAAATGATTTTAATTGATCATTGTTTTAGATCAGTGGTCCCCAACCTTTTTAGAACAGGGACCCGTTTCATGGAAGACAATTTTTCCAAGGATGGAGGGGTAGCAGGGCAAGATAGTTTTGGGATGAAACCGTTCCACCTCAGATCATCAGGCATTAGATTCTCATAAGGAACATGCAACCTAAATCCCTCACATGTGCAGATCACAATAGGATTCGTACTCCTATGATAATCTAATGCCACTGCTGATTTGACAGGAGGCCAAGCTCAGGTGGTAATGCTTGCTCAACTACCACTGACCTTCTGCTGGGTGACCCAGTTCCTAACAGGCCACGGACAGATACCAGTCTGTGGCCCAGGCATTGGGGATCCCTGTTTTAGATTACTAGTATCATTGTTTCTTTTTAGGAGAAAAACTTAAAATTTTATCACATATCTTAGTATCTCAGAAATAGTCAATTTTATATGCATGTTAGGTAAATGGAGGAAAATTTGAATTCTATTTGTTTCTCCATTTTCCCAACTTTTGGGGCAAGGAAAACCAAACCAGTTTATTGGTTTTACAAGATATAATTCCCCATTTATTAGAACGAAAACTGATTCCCAGTTAAAGAAGAGAAAGATATCAAACGTTCCTAGAAAAACTGGCTCCCATTTTTTGAGGGAGTGGAGGGAAAGGCATCAATTAAAGTTGTGTCTCCCTGACATTAGGACAGCATTGGAGGATTTCTACTCAACACAGACTTGGAGAATTCAATTTCTCTACCCTGCAGAGCTTAGATAAATAAAATAATGACTAAAATTGCACATTTGGAGAGTTATCATGTGAAAAGATAATTCCGAAAAACAAAGCATTGTGATTTGCCTTATATCGTAAGATGTAGTCTTCTGTCTTATCTCATGAAAACCATCAAGACGCCAGTTTTCTGGATGTGAAAGCTTGAATATGTTACATGGAGCACTCAAGTTAATAATAAATTCCTGAGCCTGCACAAAAGAAAGGATAATCTTTTAGGCCCTAAATACTGTAGAAACACATTAAAGTCAGTAGAGGATTTTTCTCAGAAGTAAAGTGGAGCCAGGCCTAGAAGCAAAAGATGAGACTTGGGTGTCAGCACACTGTACATCCAGTCCTGCCAGCACCACCAGCTTCCTATGTCCTACTGGCAACTCAGTCAACCTCTCTGGGCCTAAGATTCTTTTTTAGTGCTGTAATCCGTAAAATGGTGTTGAAATAAATGATTTCTGTAGGCCCTTTAACACTTATTTTTACATACTAAGATCAATTTTTCAAAAGCAGTATTTGTTACTTTCAGTTTTTTCATTCACTATTGTAGTATTTGTCAATTTCTCAACAATCTCACATCTATTCTAAACACTCTATTGTTAAGAGCATGTGCTGTTGCTGTCCCCAGTATCCTAGTTTCTATGTAGTTTGCATATTTTTACATTCAAATATGGTTTCACATCTTTGCCTAACTGAATGAGTCATTTTCCAAGAACTCTCACACCCTCACAGATGGTAGAGCTGCCAGGTTTTACTTTATTTACATATGAAAAGGTTTTATGTATTTCAGAGCTAGCTCACTTATCTATGAGAGCTTTCTCAGTCACACACAAAAAGCTGACTTTTTTGCACATGTACTTACATTAAAAGGCTTTTTCTGTTCCTGTAGATGTTTACACAGAAATAGAATAATGTTAGCATGTTTTTAATTGTTCTTTACCCTTGTTTTGATCCTTTGCACAATCAGAAACTACAAAATGAAAAATTATTCCATTCAGTTCTTACTCATTTCCATTGCACTCAAAAACAAAACCATGCAATTTACAGGCTTGCAAAGGAATGCAGGGATTTTGGTTTTTATTCTTTATGTTGGCACACAAATACAAAGTCAGGAATTGTAATCAATGTATCACAGCCATTACTTTCTAGATGGATAGAGCTAGTAGAAGAGAGTTGGCCTGAGTGTGCAGAAAGCTGCCACCTTTGAAATATCCCAGCTAAGGCCATTCTAGGTCTTGCCAACCCCCAACATGTCAGAGTCCAGCCTAAATCAGCACAGCCACATTACCTGCCGCCAACCATGAATGTGGGCATGAGCAAAGAGGACGTCATATGAGCCACCCGGAACACTCATAGACTCATGAGCAATAATAAACATTTTAAGCCACTGAGTTTGAGGGTGATGCGTTATGAAGCAATAGCTAACTGCTATACCGATTGAATACTGCCTTGAAGAGGAGAGGGTGACCACCTGTCTTGAATGCTGCTGAGAGTTCAAGTAAAATAGGACAGAGATGTGACTGTTAGATTTACGTATGTGGAGGAGGAGTTTGAGGAGAGAAAGTGTGGTGAGAAAGCTAGAGATAGCAGTTATAGATAACTACAAAACTATAAAAATGATCAGAGAAATGGGGCTGCAGCTTGAGACAGATGTGTGTCAAGCATGTGTTTCTCGTCTGGAGTAAGAAATGTTATCGCATATTCATATGCTGATTGAAATTCCTCTAGAGGAGAAAGAATTTCTATGAAGAATAGAGAGGGGAACTATTGCAGAAACAAAGTCTTTGAGAAGGCAGGAAGCCTAGAATTCAGATCCCAAGTAGAAGAATTGGCCTTCAACAGGAAGACGACCATGGGCGTGGATTGACATACCAGTAGGTATGTAGATCTAGTGGTAGGAAGATGAGAAAGTTCCTGACTATGTACTGCTATTTTCAAACTAAATTCAAGGAAAATGATCAGCTGGGAATGAGAACTAATTTTAGGGGACTTATCAAACAAGAGAAAGGGTAAAATGGTCATTTTAGAAAGTAAGAAGATTACTATGCTAGGGAGGTGTAATAGGATGATCAAGCAGCATTGTATGTCTAAATGAGGTTTACTGTCATACTTTTAAAATGAGATTAAGTCAGTAGTGTGTTTTTCTCTGGTTATGGTGAGTTGCTCAGCTGCAGGAAGAGAGTAGACAGGTAGTCTGATTTCACCTCTAAACTCATCATCAAAGACGTGAGATCAGCTCCCTTGTCCTGCATCTTTTAACTCTAAAGTTGAACTGAAATAATTCTTCTTGAAAGACTACTATGTCCCTAAACTTAAAGAAAAGAAAATTCTTGGAAATAAAGCACTTAAAAGAAAGATAGAAATCTAAGCATAGAGTTCATTACAAAAATAATGATTCCATTTTATCAACTTGAAGAAATATAATTGTGATAACTGCATGTTTCTCCTATTTCCTGTTCTTCCATCTCAGCTCTCTTGGGACTAATATTGGCAATGCAAGGAGTTACTAGTGTAGTGAGTTTGCTTACTTCTAAGAGTCACCTGAAAAAGCTACTTATCAATGACATAAATGACTGGAGGACTTTATGTCCCATGCAATGTTAATTATTCATTTACTCACTCATTCAGCCATAATTGTTGAATTATGTGATATCATACATTTGAGATTGGTAGTAGAAATACAGACATGGCTATTACCAAAAGTGACAAGTCCTGTATTCTTACTCCTACCACTTCCAGTGACCCAGCTCCTCAAGTCCAGTTTAAGATAAGGTACATTTTGAGTGAACTGAGGTTCTCTGTGTCATCAAATAAACTAAACTCCTGCAATAGGTATTGCAAACATAAAGAATATTTAATACTGTGTAGTTTAACACAGTAATTAAGATCACCATCCCTTAGACTAGACTATTTGGATTCATATATAAGTAGTAAATATAAATGTCTATAAAATGGTAATTATTATAATAGTTGAAAAAGAACTAAATCAAATAGGCTGATATAAAGACAAAATGAGTCTATGAAAGAAGGTTATGAGGTAGAGAATGCCAGAAAAATCACTGTAACTTCTTTTGCAGACAGTTTAAATAGACCATTATGAAATTCCCTTGTTTTTAAACTATAATAACTAAACTGTTTCTTCGTGTTCAGTTAAGTAGAATCCAATGGAACAGAAGTTTCACTGAGCTTGTTTTATCATGCTAGCACTTCCATTGAAAAAGTGTCTACAACTGTTAACTCGTTATCATTTTTATTAATGTGTAATCAATTAATAAGAACATATGTGTTCCACAGACAAACTCCAAAGATATTTAAATAGAGATACCAG